AACAGAAGTACCTCCCCTTTGGAATAAGATATCTCCTTTCCATTAGTGATGAAGACACAGACTGCTCCCCCAGTAGAGTGAAGGACATTTGTAAGGTTAAAGGATAAGTTGACTGTTGTGGAGAAGAAGGCTGCCTGTACCAGGGCTGGTGCCTCTCTGGGGCAGTTCACAAGAATTTGGAAATATCATCTCTGAACTCCCTATGCAGTCTGCCCCCTCACCTCACACCCTCTCAGAAATGAGGGTTCAGCACTAGAGCCTGGCAAGACCAATGCATTGTGACTGCAGCCTGGCCAGCAATACAGGGCAACAGGGAGAAAATCAGACAGGTTACTTTCCTGGCTACCCCTAACCACAGCTGTATATCAGAAGCTGTATATCATTCACACTCCAAAAGAGGGTACAGCAAAAGCAGCAAAACGAGGGAGACTGGGGTTAGTCTGTACCCTGCAGCAGACTCTATGTCTGCCCTCTCACCCTCTCAACTGTGACCCTGGTTATTCTCTGAAAATAAGGGATGGGACTAAATGATCATTTATGGATAGTCTGGGCCAGGCACCATCCAATACATCCCTTCTCTCACTTATCACATCTCTATTGGTGAGGTAGGTATTAGAAGCCCTCTTACAGAGACTGGCAATCTGTCCACAGTCACACAGCTAATCAGACTTAGAGATTGGAACACAGGTCTGTCTGACATCTTACAAACTGCTCAGCAGAGTGCTGTATTTGATATAGAAAGTGCTTTTACTTTTGTGAGTTTGGGTCCCCTGGTTGATTTTCCTTTGGTTTTTCTTCTCCCCTGAATACTGTAAATTTAAAATCCAACCCACTTCTTTCTAAAGACTTTGGTAAGATCCTTTAATTGACCTTAATATTAAATCTTTCCTGGAAAGTCTTCAGATTTCAATAATCATTTCCTTCCTACTGTAGGAAATTAAAAGAATATTTAAAAAGTAGAAATTCTAACCCTGTTGGGCTCTTTCCAACAGGGTTCGTATTTCTCTGAAATAATTGACTAATTTCCCCTTGGTGCATTTGTATAATACAAATCCAAGAACTAAGCAGTTTTTAGAAATTGATTCACAAGAATTTGGAAATATCATCTCTGAACTCCCTATGCAGTCTGCCCCCTCACCTCACACCCTCTCAGAAATGAGGGTTCAGCACTAGAGCCTGGCAAGACCAATGCATTGTGACTGCAGCCTGGCCAGCAATACAGGGCAACAGGGAGAAAATCAGACAGGTTACTTTCCTGGCTACCCCTAACCACAGCTGTATATCAGAAGCTGTATATCATTCACACTCCAAAAGAGGGTACAGCAAAAGCAGCAAAACGAGGGAGACTGGGGTTAGTCTGTACCCTGCAGCAGACTCTATGTCTGCCCTCTCACCCTCTCAACTGTGACCCTGGTTATTCTCTGAAAATAAGGGATGGGACTAAATGATCATTTATGGATAGTCTGGGCCAGGCACCATCCAATACATCCCTTCTCTCACTTATCACATCTCTATTGGTGAGGTAGGTATTAGAAGCCCTCTTACAGAGACTGGCAATCTGTCCACAGTCACACAGCTAATCAGACTTAGAGATTGGAACACAGGTCTGTCTGACATCTTACAAACTGCTCAGCAGAGTGCTGTATTTGATATAGAAAGTGCTTTTACTTTTGTGAGTTTGGGTCCCCTGGTTGATTTTCCTTTGGTTTTTCTTCTCCCCTGAATACTGTAAATTTAAAATCCAACCCACTTCTTTCTAAAGACTTTGGTAAGATCCTTTAATTGACCTTAATATTAAATCTTTCCTGGAAAGTCTTCAGATTTCAATAATCATTTCCTTCCTACTGTAGGAAATTAAAAGAATATTTAAAAAGTAGAAATTCTAACCCTGTTGGGCTCTTTCCAACAGGGTTCGTATTTCTCTGAAATAATTGACTAATTTCCCCTTGGTGCATTTGTATAATACAAATCCAAGAACTAAGCAGTTTTTAGAAATTGTCATCAGGCCTTCTCAGGCAGAGGGGCAGCATGAAAGGCGGGAAAGCAGCTCAAAGGGTCTGTAGCCAGGACACCTGTTGAAAGACCTTGTGTATGTTTCTATATAATTTGTTTTCTCCTACCCTTGTTTTATGAAATTAAATTTTTTTTCACCTACTTCAAAACAAATTGCAGAGGACAAATTACTATGACTCTTTAAATGCTCTCAGTATGTCATGTGGTCTGAATTTATAAACAGAAGATACAAGTTCCAAGCAAATATTGTTTACTTTGTTGAACTAAAGGGTTACATGTGAAATGAGTCCCATTTGCTGAGGTTAGTTTTCTAGAGGTTTGGTTTTGTACATTTTTTTTAACAACATATTGCTCCATCAGAAACAATAAGACATTAGCTAGCACAGTCCCTCTGTTTGACTGATTTGTCTTTATCCCAGTGCAGATGTTTTTGAGCCCTGGAAAGACAGACCAACATTCACAGAAACAGACAGTACTAAGAGTTGAGAAAAAATGGCAAATACAACTAATCCTGAAAAGGGTACCAAGAGTGCAGAACAGACTGCCTCCATCTGGAGAAAAGAGAAAACCTCACAGAAAAGGGTAAAGAAGGAAAGCCATGACCCAGCAGGACCCAAACCCTCCCCCAAACCCAGCCCATAGGCAGGAGAAGAGAAATGGAACAGGGAGGGAATTGAGGCCCAGGACTGCTGAACATGCAGCCCTGGAGATCTCCAGGAGCACAAAACCGCATTACATGGTGTTCTGGAGATTAGCGGGATTGGAAGGTAAAGATGGGTAGAATACTTGTAGAGACTGAGATTCCAGCCCCTTGTGGAGAACAGGTATGCACAACAGGCCCCCCTGGGAAAAAAGAATGGTGGGAAGATTGAAAGACTTCCCAGCAGTGAGAGAGGCGCTGCAGGGGAAGAGATTACACAGAGATCACTGCTCAGGAGAAAGGGTAGGTGGACAAAATCATCCTGGCACATTCAGCCCAGCAGGTTGGAACTTTCAGGAGCTCCCTCTGGCTGGTAACAGAGATCCAAGGCCCCCCATTGCAGTACACAGCCTGCTGCTCCTTCCTCCCGGCAGATGCTGGTCCTGCTTACCTGCTGCCCGCACCATCACACCAGGCCAACTAGAGGACGGCTCCACCTATGGCAGCTACAGAGGCTCCTCCTTGCATGATTGGCCCACTGGACCTGGCAGTGGAGGCAAGCATTACAGCTGGGAAGGCAGGAAACCCTCCACACGGAGTACGTTCCACCCAGTAGGCACCAGTTTCACTCACCTGCAACTTCCACCATTGCTATGGGTGCATGGCGGCACCAGACAGTAGAGCTTCTGGGCACTAGAGGGCACATCCTAAACAAACCTATTATCCCATAAGAAATACTAAAAAAAAACTTAAGAGACAGAGGAATTTCATCCAAAAATTCAAGAAAAAAGGCCAGAAAGAAGGCTTAGTGGGACTGAAATCACAGAGCTTCTTGATAAAGATTTCAAAATAAAAGGCATAAACATGCTCATGGAGCTACAGAAAACTATTCAGGTCTCAGGAAGGACTTCAATAAAGAGATAGAAACTTTGAAAAATACAGTATCTAAAATGAAACATACAACACAATGGAGGGATTTAAAAGTAGATTAGATGAGGGAGAGGACACAGTAAATAAAGTAGAAATTAGAGAACAGGAAAACAAAGAAGCTGAGGCACAGAGAGAAAAAAGGATCGCTAGGAATGAAAGAATAATGAGAGCTGTGCAACCAATCCAAACATAACAGTATTTGCATTACAGGGGTACCAGAAGAAGAAGGAGAGAGAGAAAGGGATAGAAAATCTCTTAGAGGAGATGACTACTGAAAACTCCCCCAATCTGGGGAAGGAAATAGACACTCAGGTCATGGAAGTGCATAGATCTCCCAACACAAGGAACCCTAGGAAGACAATACCAAGACATATAATAATTAAAATGGCAAAGATCAAGGACAAGGACAGAGTACTGAAAGTAGTCAGAGAGAGAAAAAAGATCATTCACAAAGAAAATCCAAACAGGCTATCATCAGACTTCTCAGCAGAAACCTTACAGGTCAGAAGAGAGTGGAATGATACAGTTAATGCAATGAAACAAGGACCTCCAACCAAGAATACTCTAAGCAGAAAGATTATCATTTACATTTGAAGCAGGGATTAAACAATTTCAGATAAGCAAAAGTTGAGGGAATTCCCCACAAACTGTCTCCACAGTATATTTTGGAGGGGCTTCTATAGATGGAAGTGCTCCTAAGGCTAAATAGCTGTCATCAGAGAAAATAAAACCACAGTAAAAAAAAGTAGACCAAATAATTACTAAGCAAATAAAAAATAAATCAACTACTTACAAAGTTAGTCAAGGGATATACAAAGAATACAGAATATGACACCTAATATATAAAAAAAGAGTGGAGGAGGAAGAAGAAGAAAGGGATAAAAAAAGATCATTTAGGTTATCTTTAAAATAGAGTGATAAGTGGATCCGGTTCCGCCCTCCCTTTAGCTGCGGACCCCCCTCCGGGGCTAGAGTCTGAGATCCCTTTCCCAGAGTGCCCTGCGCAGTGAAGAAGCGGCTCCCAGGGACTGGGGGCATTTTGTGTTGGCTGGAGCCAGAACAAGATGGCAGCGTCGGCACTGACAGGGGTCCCTGCGGGCAGGAGCCGGCGGCAGTGGTAGCAGCGGTATCGTTGCCCTAACTCCCCGCACCCCTTTTCCAGCCCGTGACGTCACCGCAGAAACGAGGCTGCGGCACCCGCCCAGAAGCAAGTGGCTCCGACTTGGTAACCACGAGAACCTCCTCACAAACTGCGGCCCGGCAAAAAGAAACCTGACTGAGCGGGGGTGATCAGGTTCCCCTTTGCCGATTCTGGGCCGGTAACGCCAAGCAAGTCAGCATTTTCAGTTTTCTGCTGCCCTCCTGCGCAACCTTGCTCAGTAGACGAGACCCAGGGGCCTCAGTCCTCCTTACAGAGGTGTTGGGGCTTGGCCCCAGCCTCCATCTTCGTCTCTCAGGATGGCGAGCAGCAGCGGCTCCAAAGCCGAATTCATCGTTGGAGGGAAATACGAACTAGTACGGAAGATCGGGTCTGGCTCCTTCGGGGACATTTATCTGGCGATCAACATCACCAACGGCGAGGAAGTGGCAGTGAAGTTGGAATCTCAGAAGGCCAGGCATCCCCATTTGCTGTATGACAGCAAGCTCTATAAGATTCTTCAAGGTGGTGTTGGCATCCCTCACATACAGTGGTATGGTCAGGAAAAAGACTACAATGTTCTAGTCATGGATCTTCTTGGGCCCAGCCTCAAAGACCTCTTCAATTTCTGTTCAAGAAGGTTCACAATGAAAACTGTACTTATGTTAGCTGACCAGATGATCAGTAGAATTGAATATGTGCATACAAAGAATTTTATACACAGAGACATTAAACCAGATAACTTCCTAATGGGTACTGGGCATCACTGTAATAAGTTATTCCTTATTGATTTTGGTTTGGCCAAAAAGTAAAGAGACAACAGGACAAGGCAACACATACCATACAGAGAAGATAAAAATCTGACTGGCACTGCCCAATACGCCAGCATCAGTGCACATCTTGGTATTGAACAGAGTTGCCTAGATGACATGGAATCATTAGGATATGTTTTGATGTATTTTAACAGAACCAGCCTGCCATGGCAAGGACTGAAGGCTGCAACAAAAAAACAGAAATATGAAAAGATTAGTGAAAAGAAAATGTCCACTCCTGTTGAAGTTTTATGTAAGGGATTTCCTGCAGAATTCACCATGTATTTTAACTATTGTCGTGGGCTGCGCTTTGAGGAAGCCCCAGATTACATGTACCTGAGGCAGCTATCCCGCATTCTTTTCAGGACCCTGAACCACCAATATGACTACACATTTGACTGGACAATGTTAAAGCAGAAAGCAGCTCAGCAGGCAGCCTCTTCAAGTGGGCAGGGTCAGCAGGCCCAAACCCCCACAGGTTTCTAAGCATGAATCAAGGAACAGAAGAAGCAGAGCAGATGATTGGAGCAGCATTTGTTTCTCCCCAAATCTAGAAATTATAGTTCACATGTACACTAGCCAGTGGTTGTGGACAACCATTTACTTGGTGTAAAGAACTTAATTTCATTATAAACTGGCTCTGGACAGCATTGGTGATGCTGTGTCCTGAGTTGTAGCTGCTGTAATTGTGAATATTTACTGAGATAGTGAAACATGGTGTCCAGTTTTCTATTGCATTTTTTCAAGTGGAAAAGTTAACTAAATGGTTGACACACAAATTGGTGGAGAAATTGTGCATATGCCAATTTTTTGTTGAAATCTTTTATTTTGAACTACACTACTGTTTGAGATCTCATTTCAGAAGAATGGCATGAACAGTCTTCAGCCACAGTTGTGATGGTTGTAAATGCTCACAATTGTGCATTCTTAGGGTTTATTCACCCCTGGGGTTTGCAAATTGTTCACTTATAACATTCTAAAAGTGGCTGGCTCCTTGTTCGCAAGCCAGCTGTTGTGGTAGCAACCAAAGATTCCAGTGTTTGAGCATATGAAAGACTCTGCCTGCTTACCTGTGCTAGAAATAACAGCATCTAAAGTGAAGACTTAAGAAAAACTTAATGACTACTAGAATATCCTTAGGACTCTGCATTAACTATAATGTTCTGGTATTTAAAAAAATGCATATTTGTCACAGAAATTTAGTTAACATCTTAAAATTGAACATGTATGTATGTTGCTTAGATAAATGTAATCACTATAAACATCTATATGACCTGGGATTTTGTTTTTATTTTGAAATGGGAGCTTTTCTGTTTACAAGTTCATTAAAAACTATTATCTATTTTTAAAAAAAAGAAAGAAATAGAGTGATAAGTGATTTAAGATAGACTGTGAGATAGCAATAAAGAATGGAGGAAAAAAAAAAGAAACCTTAGATTGTGTTTGTAATAGTATACTAAGTCAGCAAAATAAGACTGTTAGATAGTAAGGAAGTTACCCTTGAACCTTTGGTAACCACAAATCTAAAGGCTGCAATGGCAGTAAGTACATACCTATCGATAACCACCCTAAATGTAAATGGTATGAATGCACCAATCAAAAGACAGAGAGTCACTGAATGGATAAAAAGAACAAGACCCATCTATATGCTGCCTACAAGAGACTCACTTCAAACCCAAAAACATACACAGACTAAAAATGAAGGCATGGAAAAAGATATTTCATGCAAACTATAGGGAGAAAAAAGCAGGAGTAGAAGTCCTTATATTAGAAAAAAAAGATTTCAAAACACAGAAAGTAACATGAGACAAAGAAGAACACTACATAATGATAAAGGCGTCAGTCTAACAAGAAGATATAACCATTATAAATGTCTATGCACCCAATATAAGAGCACCTTATTATGTGCAACAAATACTAACAGAATTAATGGATGGAATGGAATGCAATGCATTCATTTTAGGAGACCTCAACACACCACTCACTCCAAAGGACAGATCAACCAGACAGGAAATAAGGAGACAGAGGCATGAACAACACATAAGAATAGATGGACCTAACAGACATCTACAGAACACTCTACCCAAAAGCAGCAGGATTCACATTCTTTTCAAGTGTACATGGAACATTTTCCAGAATAGATCACATACTAGGCCACAAAAAGAGCCTTGGTAAATTCAAAAAGATTTAAATTGTGCCAAACAGCCTCTCAGACCACAAAGGTAGGAAATTAGAAATAAATTATGCAAAGAAAACAAAAAAGCCCACAAACAAATAAAGGCTTAACACCATGCTTCTAAATAATCAATGGATCAATGAACAAATTAAAACAGAAATCAAGCAATATATGGAGACAAATTATAAAATCTTAATAGCCCAAAACCTGTGGGATACAGTGAGGGCAGTTTTAAGAGGAAAGTATATAACAATACAGGCTTACCTCAAGAAAGAACAACCCATAGAACAATGGACCAGACTAGAGAGCCAAGATATAAACCCAAGCATATATGGTCAATTAATATATGATAAAAGGGACATGGACACACAATGGGAAAATGACAGCCTTTTCAACAACTGGTGTTGGCAAAACTGGACAGCTACATGCAAGAGAATGAAACTGGATTATTGTCTAACTCCATACACAAAGGTAAATTCAAAATGGATCAAAGACCTGAATGTAATAGAAGACAACATAGGCAAAAATCTCTTGCATATAAACATGAGCAACTTTTTCCTGAATGCATCTCATCAGGCAAGGGAAACAAAAGCAAAACTGAACAAATGGGACTACATCAAACTAAAAAGCTTCTGTACAGCAAAGGACATCATCAGCAGAACAAAAAGGCATCCTACAGTATGGGAGAATATATCTGTAAATGATATATCCAACAAGGGCTTAACATCCAAAATATATAAAGAACTCACACATCTCAACAACCAAAAAGCAAATAACCTGATTAAAAAATGGGTGGAGGATATGAACAGATAATTCTCCAAAGAAGAAATTCATATGGCCAACGGGCACATGAAAAGATGCTCCACTTCGCTAATTATCAGGGAAAAGCAAATTAAAACCACAATGAGATATCACCTCACATCAGTTAGGATGGCCAACATCCAAAAGACAAACAACAACAAATGTTGGTGAGGATGTGGAGAAAGGGGAACCCTCCTACATTACTGGTGGGAATGTAAACTAGCTCAACCATTGGAAAACAATATGGAGGTTCCTCAAAAAACTAAAAATAGAAATAACATTTGACCCAGGAATTCCACTCCTAGGAATTTATACAAAGAATACCCAAAGAATTTGAAAGTTCTCAGATTCAGAAAGACATGTACACCCCTATGTTTACTGCAGCACTATTTACAATAGCCAAGATATTGAAGCAACCTAAGTGTTCATCAGTAGATGAATGGATAAAGAAGAGGTGGTACATATACACAATGGAATACTATTCAGCCATAAGAAAAAAACAAACCCTACCATTTGCAACAACATGGATGGAGCTAGAGGGTATTATGCTCAGTGAAATAAGTCAGACAGAGAAAAACAAGTACCAAATGATTTCCCTTATTTCTTGAATATAACAATGAAGCAAAACTGAAGGAACAAAACAGCAGCAGACTCACAAACTCCAAGAAGGGATGAGCAGTTACCAAAGCGGAGGGGTGGGGGAGGGCAGGTGGGGAGAGAGGGAGAAGGGGATTGGGGGGTATTATGATTAGTACACATGGCGTAGGGGGGATCATGGGGAAGACAGCGTAGCACAGAGAAGACAAGTAGTGACTCTGTGGCATCTTACTACACTGCGATGGGGAATGGGGAGGGACTTAGTAATATGGGTGAATGTAGTAACCACATTGTTTTTCATGTGAAACCTTCATAAGAGTGTATATCAATAATACCTTGATTTAAAAAATTGTAAAAACAGGGGGATTTCCAGTCCTAGTATCTTCTACCTGTGTGGTCTTTGATTTTTCTGGAAAATTGTAAAAAAAAAAAAAAAAGAAAGAACAATTCCATATAAACAGTCTAAACTCCCAATTAGTGAAACTAGGAAAAGAAGAACTAAGGAGGCCCAAAGTCAGTAGATGGAGAAACATAATAAATGATCAGAGCAGAAATAAATAAGATTGAGAAGAATACAACAGTAGAAAGAATCAATGAAACCAGGAGCTGGTTACTTGGGAAAATAAATAAAATAGATAAACGTCTAGCCAGACTTGTCAAGAAAAAAAGAGAGTGTACACACACAAACAGAATCAGAAATGAGAAAGGAAAAATCACAACGGACACCACAGAAATACAAAGAATTACTAGAGAATACTATGAAAAATTATATGCTAACAAATTGTATAACCTAGAAGAAATGGACAACTTCCTAGAAAAATACAATGTTCCAAGACTGATGCAGGAGAAACAGAAAATCTGAACAGACCAATTAGAAGCAATGAAATTGAACTGGTAATTTAAAAACTACCTAAGACTAAAATTCGTGGCCCAGATGGCTTCATGGGTGAATTTTATCAAGCATTTAGAGAAAACTGAATACCCACCCTCCTTAAAGTTTTCCAAAAAAGTAGAAGAGGAGGGAATACTTCCAAACTCATTCTATGAGGTCAGTATCACTCTAATACCAAAATCAGACAAAGACACCACAGAAAAAGAAAATTACAGACCAATATTCCTGATGAACATAGATGCAAAAATCCTCAACAAAATAATAGCAAACCAAATTCAAAAATACATCAAAAAGATCATCTATCATGATCAAGTGCGATTTATTTCAGGGATGCAAGGATAGTACAATATTCGAAAATCCTTCAACATTATGTATGACATCATCAAAAAGAAGGACAAAAATCACATGATTTTTTTCTGAATGGCCAATATGCACATGAAAAGATGCTTCACATCACTCATCATCAGGGAAATACAAATTAAAACTACAATGAGATATCATATCACACCAGGATGGCCAACATATAAAAGACTAGGAACAACAAATGCTGGTGAGGATGCGGAGAAAGGGGAACCCTCCTACACTGCTGGTGGGAATGTGAACTAGTTCAACCATTGTGGAAAGCAATATGGAGGTTCCTCAAAAAACTAAAAATAGAAATACCATTTGCCCTGGGAATTCCACTCCTAGGAATTTATGCAAGAAAACAACTTCTCAGATTCCAAAAGATGTATGCACCCCTAAGTTTATCACAGCACTATTTACAATAGCCAAGACACGGAAGCAACTTAGGAGTCCATCAGTAGATGAATGGATAAAGAAGAGGTGGTGCATATACATGATAGAATATTATTCAACCATAAGAAGAAATCAAATCCTACCATTTGCAGCAACAGATGGAGCTAGAGGGTATTATGCTCAATGAAATAAGTCAGGCAGAGAAATAGAAATACCAAATGATTTCCCCTATTTGTGGAGTATAACACCAAAGCAAAACTGAAGGAACATAACAGCAGCAGACCCACAGACTCTTAAGAAGTGACTAGCAGTTACCAAAGGGAAGGGGTTGGAGAGGGTGCATAGGGAGGGAGGGAGAAGGGGATTAAGAGGCACTATAATTAGCAATCACAGTATAGGTAGATTACAGGGTAGGCAGAAAGCATGGAGAAGACAAGTAATGACTCTATATAGCATCTTACTATGCTGATGGACAGTGACTGCAATGGGGGCTGATGGCGGGGACTTGATAATATAGGTGAATGTTGAAACCACAATGTTATTCATGTGAAACCTTCATATGATTGTATATCAATGATACTTTAATAAAAATACTGTTTTTCAAATGTTTCTGATGACCCTGTGTAGTAAAGATAGATATTATCATTATTTACATGGCTAAGAAGAATTAAAGGCAGGATTCAAATACAGTTCTTCCTTGATAATGACTCCAAGACTTAAAGCCTAGAGATGAGAACAATGCTCACATTCTAGACAAAGATGAAACTTCTT